AGAATTGGTACAGCAACGTGTCTGGTCGAGTTACTACCTATTCGGCCAAACTGGTCCACCTCTAAGTCAATCGTACGTAACCAGCCTATGATTGAAGCTTTAAATGTTTCTGTTTTGTAACATGAAAAAGAGATGAAAATAACCCCTCTTGAAAATAATCCATGCTTTTATGGCTGATCATGTTCATAATATATCCAATAGTATTATTTTCTATGATGCATTTCTGCTAAAAAACTATCAATCGGTGATGAATAAATGTTAAAAGCAATCAAAGCAAGGGTGTATAATCAACGATAATCCTTTGGAAGTTGTTGATCTGCAATTCCTCAAATCTGTTACTTCTGTGAATTCTTAAAGACTGTTTTTGTAACAGGATTTGGATTCTTCGCTTCTTGTAATCAAATCTATTGCTAATCTCTTAATATAAGTTGTGCATAAAAGTCCACACAAAAAGTTCAAGGGAACAATTGTGACAAAACTGTCACAAAATGTTTCCAACTTATATACTTGAAGATATAAGAATGTAAATATAGAATAGCAACATTAGTGTAATTGTATTGTCTATGTGTTGTCATGCTGGCATTACTGAGCTGGATATAAATTGGTGTTGATTGCGTACATGCTCATCTTTTTAAACAAATGAAAGGTTGCTTGAAAGCTTTGAGGTAATCTTTTGTTAATTTAAAATGAAATTAATCTAATATAAGACCTTATTACACACTTCAAAGAAGTTAGTTACGATTCTCTTATTGTTGGAAATATAACTTGGAAGTTGTGGCTTCTTGAATATATTTTGAAGTTATTCACCAGTCTATTAATATGACTTTATAATGATAACTTTTTTTTGGTTCCTAACCATTTGATTGGTATAAATGGAATTTATCAACATATCAAGTAGTACGGTAGATTTTTCAAGCTTTGGATGTAGCTCACAGAATAATCATATAAAGCTGGAACAATATAGTAATGCCTGATTGGTTTTTTAAAAAGTGTGCATTTATATGTGTTTCTATATTTGAACTTTTATTCACATACATAGACAAAAAGGGATTTTCAAGCAATTGATCTTATTTACGTTTAGTTTATGGTTTTTTTTTGGTTCCCAACCTTTGTGTCTTGGTGGCCTGGCTAGGGGTCGGGGGAAACTGGGCTATTCTAGAAAAATTAGAGGAGTATTTCTTAAAATTTTTTTTTTCTCATGTCCCCTTTACTTAAAAAAATTATGAAGAGCCAAAAGAGCTTGAAAATCTTGTTTGGGCTATAAATGAACAGTTTTATGGCTAATTTACAACTATTTACAGTCTTTGCATTATCTCTCATGATCGCCGTTAGTCAGTAAAACTGTAGAGATTTTCAATCATCCAGGTCATGGCTGTCCCAAAGGTGCTTTTTCTAGAGGAAGTGGACCTTTTTTTTCCCTTGAAGATGTTTCGCTTCTCATCCAAGAAGCTTCTTCAACTCTGACAGGTGGAGAATTGAAGGATTTATATTCCTTGCA